TATTCTATTCTATTCTATTCTATTCTATTCTATTCTATTCTATTCTATTCTATTCTATTCTACAAGCATGTAAACTCCAAAGGTATAAATAAGGTATGCCAGGCTAGTACTTGTTGTCTAGCTATAAATGATGACACTGGGTTGACCATGGTGGATCTAAAGGAGGCAGTGCATGACAAAGGGGCATGGAGAGTGCTGATCCATAGAGTGTCCAAAGGGGCATGGAGAGTGCTGATCCATAGAGTGCTGATCCATAGGTGGTACATGACTGAATGACTGACAAGTTGAATCAGGTCTCCCTTTGAATACTTTGATTCAGATATAACCCATGTGTGGAGGGGAAGTGGAAAATCAGATTCCCTTATTGCTACCAGGCCTCCATTATAAACCAGTTTTTCATTTCCATGCCAGATCTCTGGACGAACCAGAACAGGATTGAAGGGGATCCTTCCCTGGCTCTGGCTAATTAAAGAAAGGGGAAAAACAAAACTTAGGGAGTTGATAGCTTAGCCATGCTAGAATCAGGTGTTAGAAGACAACCAGTCTACTCCAGGATTCATTCAAAATAAGTCAACATCATGAAAGGTAACAAAGGAAGATTGGATTGCATACATTCAATACAAAAAGAGAGAAATCTTCCTAATACAGTTCTAGCCTTATACTCTAGAACAGGCCTGTCAAACTGGCGGCCCATGGGACGGATGCGTCACATTGAGGCCACGCCCACCATGGCTCCGCAAAGGCAAAAATACATCACGATACATCATGTGACGTGATGGAGTTTGACATCTGTGATCTAGATCTGGAACTGGATTCTATGCTTTAATCCTATATTCGAGTGCCTGTCTGAATTTGAAAGCAATAAAAACTTATTTTTGACTGTGCCAGAGTTATTCTCCTCATCCAGGAGTCCATCCACCTCATAACCCCCCCCCCCCCCCCAAAAAAGCATGCCCTCTTCTTGTCCTAAACCCAACAGGTTACTTCAATTCCCCCTCTTTACAGGTTGCCCTTGACAGTTGGGACCAGAATATCCGTTGCTAAGCAAGCTAGTTATTAAGAGAGTTGTCCCTGATTTTATGACCTTTCTTTGCCACAGTTGTTCAGCAACAACAGAAGTGAATCATGTGCTCGTTAAGTGAATCCAGATTGACTTTGTTTGTTGGAAGCCAGTTGGGAAGGTTGCAAATGGTGATCACATGGCCCTGTGAAGCTGCAACCATCATAAATGCATGCCAGTTGCCATGTGCCTAACTTTGGATCCTCTGACTGTGGGGATACTGTGACGACGAGGGCCAGTTGTAAATCACCTTTTTCAGTGCCATTGTAACTTCAAAAAGTCACTAAACAAATGGCTATAAGTCAAGAACCGCCTGCACTTGAATTTTTAAAATGCTTTTCACAACGCCTCTTAATATAATAAGCAAGCAGAGCTGTCCCTGATTAAAAGGATAGGTGATCTAATGCAGGGGTCCCCAACCTCCAGGCTGTGGTCTGCTACTGGGCTGCAGGCTGTTCAAAACTGGACTGCAGAAGAAATGGGCAAGTGCAGGTATGTGAAGCTCCATTCACACGAGCAAAGCTCCATTTGTGTGAATGGAGCTTTGTGTGCAAGTGCAAGTGCCCTCCGCTCGTGTGTGTGAAGCTCTGTTTTCATGAGTAGGGAGCGCAAGCACCACTCTCACAAATGGAGATGTGCATGTGTGCATGCACCTGCTTTTTCCACAGCTGTTGGGCTGTGTAGTTCTGCTCCCCTACACTTTGATTCCATTGTCTCTCCTGGAGACTACATCTCCCAGAAGCCCACTGCAGTATCCTCCTCCTGTTCAGAGTTCAAGGGGTCAGGGTTCCATCCACAGGGCTGTGTAGGTTTTATTCAAGGTCGTCTTCTCAGTTTCACTAATGTGGCCATCTACCAATCTTACTATGGATGTTACTGTGCATCAGCTGGATACTACATTCTGTGTTGGTCATATCAACATAGGTGGGAATAATTTTGCTGGATGAATGTGGGTTTGATTGGGCAGAATGTGTGGGGAATAGGGCCCCTGTCAGACAATTCAATAAATTCTCAGAAGGATACATATAGGTTTGGCACCTGTGTGAATTCGGAAATGAATTCTGAGGAACTGCAATCACAGGTAAGGACCAACTTTAGCCTTCACTGATTAAAAACAAGGAAATCAAATGAGAATGATGGTTTAATGGAATTTAGAAGATTAAAAAAACCCACCCTGAAAGAGCACGATTAGCTTATTGCATTTTATCTTCCTAGACATGAATGAACACAGTTCTAGAAGTCACAGTATCTTCCTAATTAATATCAAACAAGAGAATGTGGAAACTGAAAAAAAACTCAGTGGGAAGCTTTATCTGGTAGATCTTGCTGGGAGTGAAAAGGTAATGATCCTGTTACTGGTGCATATAAAATTCTTGATTACAAGGTTGGACCTTTTGGAATTCATGACTTACTATAATAAATCACACTTGAATAAAGGGCTTTAGATTTTACTTATTTCCTTATATTTCCTATTTCCAAACCTCCCATCTCCCTCAAGGAGGGGTTAGATCAGATCAAACTCATGTCAGCATGGCGGTGTCACGTAACACATCAGGCCTCCCCCCTTTGCTAAACTGTGCACGGGTGTGGCGGGCGCATGGTGCATTCAGCCCATGGACAGGGAGTTTGACAGCCCTAGGCGAGATGATTGTCTTACAAGCAAATAAATAGCATTGGATATAATAATTGCTAATTCAAAAATGTTTCATTGTATGTTGAGTTAGGAGATAAGCCATTCCTAAATATCTACCGTGTTTCTCATATAATAAGGCCGGGTCTTATTTTTTTTTGAGCCCCGAAAAAATAGCTAGGCCGTCTTTTTGGGGGTGACTTAATTACCCCCCCCCCGCATCTTCGGGCAGGTGGCAACGGCTTGGATGTTGACCTCGGCGTTGGTGGGGCACTTCGTATTGGGGTCAACGCAGGCAGTGCAACAAAAGTACTTCCTAATGGCAAGCCCCCCCCACCATTCCCACCATTTCACATGTTTTAATATAGGCCTTAATTTGGGGGGAGGGGCTTAATTTCATTTCATGCCTATAAAACATGCTGGGGCTTCCTATTGGGGGAGGCCGTATTGTTGGAGAAACAGGGCATTGTCTCAAATAAATGAAGTAATGTCTACAAAAAGGTGACGCCCCCACACTTCTGCTATTGCTGCAAAATTATTTGTTTTGTAAAATCTTTTCTGTCAGGATACATGAAACTTATCTTTAAATTATGGTTTAAATTTATTTTTTAAAATCACTTCGGTTTCTGAATATTTTTGAACAAGACAGCCTTCAAATGTGTTGGATGATCTTTAAATTATAAAGGCCTTTTTCCCCCCTGATCATTATTCCTTGCTTTTTTTACTTTTTTTCTCCAGATTCACTTGTCTAGTAGATTTTTTTTGTTGACTCATCAGAGTATTTGTGTGCATGTCCTAGTATTTATCTAACTCCAAATTCTCCTGAAAAGAGATCAACATATTTCAGACAAGATTTTCAATTTTATCTTCAGATAATAAAATTATTATTGTGTACTATTGTACACAATGAAACTTCAATTTAACTGAGTTAATGTAATTTACATTTTATTTCATTTGCTCTATTCACATTATTTGCAAATAATGTAAATATGTGCAACAGATTTACATGAGATGAAAACAATTACATATTTAAAGTAATGATGTAAACTGATGCAAATAACATACATTACATTAATTGTCCAAACTACTTCAGAAACAATGGACACAATTGAGAATAAAGCCTGAAGCAAAATTTGCTGAATGGAAGTCTGGAAAATTGAGGTTTTATTGTATAAGAATCTGTAAAAATATGAGAATGATCTGAGAATGCATGCCAGTGTTTAGCTACAGTCAAATAGATTTGGCCTTCTGAACTGCTTTGATGGATATTGGAAATGTAAGTGAAATTCATGAAATGTGAGTGAAATGTCATTTACTTAATGCAGTTTTTAATGAACTGAAAGTATTGTAGATTTTTCTGATGTAACAGACAAGTATTATGTGTTTCTTCTAATGTAACCTCATCATTGGTTTTACCCAACTTTAGAGAGTGTGAACTCAGTTCATTTTCAATAACATGGGTTTTTTTTTGCCTAATAGGTCAGCAAAACTGGAGCTGAGGGATCTGTTCTTGATGAAGCTAAAAATATTAACAAGTCTTTGTCTGCACTGGGTAATGTGATTTCAGCATTGGCAGAAGGAACTGTAAGTCCCTTCCTTCTTTCTTTCCTTCCCGCCTTCCTTCCTTCCTTCCTTCCTTCCTTCCTTCCTCTCTCCCTCCCCCCCTCATTCTTGAAACTTAAATTTAAAATAAATAGAAAAAATAACCAGCATTGTATCCAAAAGCCCAGTATTGTCTGAGATGAAAATATGTTAGATCCCATTGATAAAAACATTCATGAATAAATATTAACTTATCACATGCAGATATTTTGCATCATTGTTATAGTTGATGCTACTAGGATAGCTATCCTAAGCAAATGGCTTCTGTGGAATTATTTATGCATGGGTTGTGGTGTATGTAGATACCCATCAGCTTGTACAAATAAAACTTTGAACAAGTAGAAGATGCAGCTGAAGAGAGATTAAAGCACGGGGAGAAAAAAAAGAAAACAGGTCCTTTTTTTCTCAAACAAAATATTGAATGAAAATAATATTGAGCTATTAAATGTTATGTGTTTTTTAAATTATTATTGTAGCAATTAAAAATACCCTGAAAATATATTGCACCCTTCTCCCACATGTATACCAAGATACATAATTTATATTTTGAAAGGCATTTATGTACAGAAATCCAAATTATAGTATGGCTAGTATATGTTGTATAAATGCAAAAAGTTGAGGCTGAAATGTTATCTTCTACTGTGTTAAAAAGAGTCAGAACTCAATGACTTTTTTCCTTTCCCCACTTCTACCCAACCCTTTACTTTCTTTTTTTTCCTCCTTTCTTCCCTTAGTTTCCCATTATTTTCATTTTATTGGTACTTTACATTGTGATGAACTAATAAAGTTTTTTTAAGAAATCCAAATTATAGCATTGCCAACAAACCTCAGCAACAGCCTTTGAATGCTTGTGTGAGAGTGCATGTATTTCAACCTCTTATCTTTCTTAATTAGAAAACACACGTCCCATATCGAGATAGCAAAATGACCCGAATTCTCCAAGACTCCTTAGGTGGTAATTGTAGAACCACCATTGTCATCTGTTGTTCTCCATCCATTTTCAATGAAGCAGAAACCAAGTCTACTCTAATGTTTGGACAAAGGTGAGCAAGAATAAATGTTTTTACTCACCTTTACTTTTATTGAAACAGGTTAAGAAGCAAAGTTACTGAAACAGATTATTTTAAGTATAAACTTCAGTAGAGTGGTGCCATGTGTTGTATGAATACAAATACAAAAGAATTGTGTTTTAGGCCTTAAGAAAAAAAAGTCAAATTAGTATCTACACACGCACGCACGCACACAGACAGACAGACAGACAGAGAGACAGACACTATTTCTTTTGACACAAAGATGATAATTTAAAAGCTAATTGCCGTTTAATGTGCTGTATTATAAAGTAAAATGTGTTAAGAAATATGAAAGAGGGTTGCAAAAGATTTCACAGCAGAAATTACATTCACCAATTAAAGCTGAATATGAAAATATTGATGGGCCTGAAAATTTCCACTAACAAGCAGCAATGATATTCTAATAGCTTTGAGAAAGTGGTCAAGAATAAAATTGCGCATGCAGAAAAATAATTTTCATTGTGATTTAATTTTATGCATCAACACTTTGCTGGTTCAGGGGCTGATGGAACTGTATTGATTTTCTAGCAATTATGTTGATGTGAATAGCTATTTCTGCCATAAATTAGGTAGGTGAGTGTCACTAACATTTCCTAAAACCTGTAAGAATATACAGACTTCTAATCTTCCAGCGAGCATCAAACCACTGTTAGAACTGTTCAAACCTGGAAAAATAAGAAATAGAAGAAACAAAATAGATTTGTTTGGCCTTACTCCTCGGACACACACACACACACACACACACACACACACACACACGGTTATAAAGTTAATATGTCTGCAGATGTAATAAAATGGGCAACCAATGACATTTCAAACTCTGGTTAAACTATTTTAGTCCATTGCTATGGTAGTGGAGAGATAACATATAATCTATAAGCTAATGAGCCGTAGTGGCGAAGTGGTTAGAGTGCAGTACTGGAGGCTACTTCTGATGACTGCTGGCTGCCTGCAATTTGACAGTTTGAATCTCACCAGGCTCAAGGTTGACTTTGCCTTCCATCCTTCAAAGTCTGTAAACCACTTAGAGAGGCTGTAAAGGAGTGTAAAGCAGTATGTTCTATTGCTAATTGTCAGGCCTCTTGAGCCACTTTTTGAAAATGCGTCTCCTTTCATTCCTTGGTGCAGGAGACCGATTTGTTTATTCACATAAAGAAATAAAGAAGATACTGATGTAAGAAGAGGATCTTTTTACCTGTGGGGGACTTTGAGAAGAATGAGCCAAAAATCAGCAAAAAGAAAATAAGCAAATTTCCCATTCATAGATACTGCCGATTTTCAAACGAATTAAATTTGCTTTCTGTTTTTAGCATCTTAGCAGCTATTCAGTTCTGCGTTTCAACTCTAAAAACTTTTTGCTTGATCCGTGAAGAAGAGATATATTTAGTTTTTATTTCAGGGTATCTTTGGAATTTGACTGTTTTAATATAAGCTTCATTTGAGAACCAGAGAGACTAACAGCCTTTTGCTCTTGCACATTCTCTAATTCCTTTGTTTTGCAATTTTTGTTTGTTTGTCATAGACTCATAAAATGGAAGATACCTAAGAGGTCATCAGGTCCAACTCCCTACACATTGCAGGATTCATTATACCATCCCCAATAGATGATTATCCTGGCTCTTTTTTAAATGTATGGATGCATACAGATAGTCCTCAACTTACGAGCCTGGTAATTGCAGTCATAAGTCATGATGGTTGTAAGATGGGTCACTATGTAACCAGACTTAAGTTTATCACCATTTTTGTGGTGGTTAGGTGAATGCATTAGTTATTAAGCGAACACCACAGTTGTTAAGCAAACCCACTGTTTGCTATGAGCCTTTTTTTTTGTTGGAAATCAGGCATAAATGTAGATTTTTCCAGCAAAACCTGTTCTGTCTCACCTTTCTTCTTTCCAAAAGATGAAAGAGTACAAACTCACACAAACACAGGCAGGCAGGCTGGCTCGAACTTCACAGAGTTAATTCTTTGGAACTGATAACGTCCTTGGCATTCCAACACGCTCTGCCTGCCAAGTCCGAACTGATAACAAGTAAAAAGCTACTTACAGAAAATTACAAGGCAGACCACAAAAATCATTCACAAAGAAAACCTGAAGTAAGATCAAACTTTGTCCCGTACAGAGTTCCAGCCGACAACACATCCACTTTTATCCCCTGTGGGGTGTGGCTCAATGACTCAGCTCACTCTCTGACCCTCCCACACCTCCTACGTTGCTGCTCACGTTTCTCCCTACGACGCTGCCTAGGATCAAGCCAACATTCTTCCTCTTGACTCCCTGTCAGGGGCTGCTCCAATATGCCTTCCTCCTGATTAATCTCAGGCTGTTCCTCTTGGTTGTCTGATGAAACTTGAGGCATTATCAGGGAGGAAGGCATTGCCAGAGAGGAAGGTCCTGGGGTGGAAGGCATTCCTTGTTCCTCCTCATCTTCCGAGTCCTCTTCCTCTAACAGCACAGGCTTGGGAATCGGAGCCACAACAAAAACCATACTAAGTCACATGACTACAGGAACTGAAAATGGCTATAAATGTAGTCCAATGTTACCAAACACCCAAAGTGCGGTCACGAGACTCTGCCCCCCCACCCCTACAACATAGGAACTTAAAATCTGGGTCATAAGTAGCTTTTGGTCTGTTGTAACTTCAAACAGTTGTGAAGCAACCCAGTCATAAGTCAAGAACTATCTCTATATTTTCCTTTTAAATTTTATTTTATTGCCAAACCTTGAGCTTTCATATGTGTGTATGTGAGAGGGGAGGGAGGGAGAGAGAGAGAGAGAGAGAGAGAGAGAGAGAGAGAGAAAGAAAGAAAAAAAAAGAAAAAGAAAGAAAGAAGAAAGAGAAAGAAAGAAAGAAAGAAAGAAAGAAAGAAAGAAAGAAAGAAAGAGGGAGAGATTTGTCATGCAGGAATAGAATTGATAGTTGTTGTGGTTAACCGGCAGCAGGTGCATATGGCTGAGGAGAGCGAGGACTCAGATGAAGGGCCAGGATCATTAGGGAGTGGACTTCTGCTTTCAGAGATTGTGGGGCCTGGCAGCAGTGTTGAGGAGGTTCCCGAGGAGCCTGTGCCAAGTGCGTATGCGCACAGGGTTGATAGTAGGAAAGAGCAGTTACAACAGCATGGGCAACTCAGGAGTAAGGCTGCAAGGTAATGGCCCCTCATTCAAGAAGATACAAGCCAGCTGTGAAACTAACCTTCTTTGCAGAAGGCAAAGACGTTTTGAAACTCCAGCCCCGTGGACATTCCAGTATCCTGAGTTTGTATTTGAAGATTCTTATTTTGCAAATTATTTCTTGTCTGTTATCTTTTGGCACAGTTTGGCAAGGCTTGTGCTTACCACAGCTAATTATTTTGTAAAAGCATTAGAAGATTTCTGTTCTTTTTGAATTGTGTTTGATTTATTGGGAAAGGGTATGGGTCAGAACAATAGTATACATACTTTTGACCCTATTCTGTAGTTCATAAAAGACTCTAATCCTCATATACTGTATAGAAGTTCTGGTGATGAGGGACAGGCATGTGCCTTGATCCATTTCACATTTCCTCTCCTAATTCCCTCTTATTGTCACCTAGCCATCTCTTCCTACCTGTCGTTCCTTTTATTATGCCTTACCTGTTCAGGGCTAAGCTAAGCTTCCTTGTTGGCAGCACTTTGGGGGAAGAAGTACTGACAGTCTGGAAACCTGTCAAATTAGATCTCACATCACTGTCAGGCAAGCACATATAGGGCTCCCTTACAGCAACTTGAATATTTCAGCCAATGGAAGTGACCTGTGCAATGTTTTCTGTGAGCCTTGTTCACTGGAGGAAGGAGAGATGAAGGCCAAATAGGCTGATATGCAGTTGCTTTATTTCAACACCTGTAGTAGCCCCATAGGGTGATCAGAGCATTAAGCACTAGGTGGGAGATAAATTGAGAAACTATATAAAACAAATGACAAAATGTGAAATCATTCTATGCAAGCTTGTACTGTAGTTGCAACAATGGTTTATATCTGAATATTCACTCATTAAACAGAGTGCATTAGCTAAGTTTGTGTTCGGTTGGTTTTTTGGACAGAGCGAAAACAATTAAGAATACAGTTTCTGTGAATCTTGAGTTGACTGCTGAGGAATGGAAAAAGAAATATGAAAAAGAGAAGGAGAAAAACAAGACATTAAAAAATTCTATCCAACATCTGGAGATGGAACTGAATAGATGGCGGAATGGTGAGTTCACTGTTGAGAATCTGTGTTAAAAAGTAAGCCAAATATTTGCAATGATAAACTCTTCTCTTTGTATCTCTAGAAATATATCAATACAACTCATTCCTAGGCAGAGACCCAGTACTGTTGTGGTGCTGTTTTCTTCATTAACTATAAAAGGTAGAACAAACATTGGGACTACACCGGGGTGGAATTCAAATTTTTTAACAACTGGTTCTGTGGGCGTGGCTTAGTTGGTGGGCGTGGCTTGGTCATGTGATTGGGTGGGCATGGCTTGGTGGTCATGTTATTGGCTGAGCGTGGCCAACTCAATATTACTCACATCGAGGCACGCATCTCCTCGCCTGGCCTCTCATGACTGTGGGGATGCTGCAACACTTGTAAGTGTGGAAAATGGTCACAAGTCACTTTTTTCAGTGCCATTGTAACTTTGAATGGTCACTCCACACAAGCAAAGTACCAGCAAAGGAGGAAAAAAACCTCCAGAGAAGTTCCTGAGACAGAAAGTCTAGTCCTGCCAAGAATGTAATAAGGGTTAACGGAGAGGCAATTTTTGTAAGCAACACCAGAATGTTTCCTTCCTGCCTTCCTTTCAGGATTAGACCAGTAATTTCTTCTAACAACCAGTTCTCCGAACTGCTTAGAATGTTAACAACCGATTCTACAGAATAGGTGCGAACTGGTAGAATCCCACCACTGGAGTGCACAATCCCCTTCTTGCGTGACGATTTCAGTGCAGTACAGGCTTGGATTAAACAAAACCTTTAGACATAGAAAAGACGTTGTTAATAAATTAGAACAGTAAGGCGGGAGTTATATTTTAATTTGTCATGAACTTAAAAGTAGAAATAATTGAGGACTCAAGATTTAGATGAAGGCATTCTCCATATTAAAAGCATTGCATGATAGTAAAGTCTGATTGCTGTTTCTGGATTTCTAAACCATAGTATAACCAAGAAGGTAACATCCTTTATTTTATTATGACAGGTAAGAAGAATACAAGTTATAAGTACATGTTCAGGAAACACAATTTCATGATTAAAAAAGCTGTAGCTCATAAGCTAAATGCTGTAGAGCTTTTCCTTCCCTAAAGCATGCCCACAGTCTTAAGTACTTGCGACTCCATCATCCTTCATTGACTATTGCTTTGCCCTTGATAACATATTAGGTGTGGAGTGGATGGTAGCATACAATTTAGCTATATTGCTAGAAATCCTTGATTTGTGTTACTGCAGAGATGTAGAATGCAAAATCCAGAGAGAAAATACGGCCTGATCTGCTAACGTATTCACTCTGTAAAAGAAGGAGATAAAGTCAGTTTAGCATGGTTGGTTTGGGATAAAGTATTGTTGTCTTCTGTTAATTGTAGCATGGTTATCTGAGTATTCACAAGCATGCTGTTTAATGATCTGTTTCAAGGACTTTGCTCAGGATTGATGTAAAGCTGCCATGTCTGTAGTTCCCTGGGTCCTCCTCCTTTTCCTTTGTTAAAGATAAAGATAATATTTGGAGGATACTCTGATTTAGTATTCTGAATTACATGTTTTACATATAATTTACATGTAATTACGTACTATTCAAGTTCCTATGCATATTTTTTTCTAATTTTTGATATTATTGGATAGTTCACCCTTAGTAAAAATGTTACCCTTGTAGTTTAAGTTTCTGGAATTTGAATGCCTTTTTTAAAATACCAGAATTGAACAAGGAACATGGTGAATGTTGTTATTTTAAAGTATACACATACAGGTACATGACTACAGTTAAGGCACCAAGCTAGAAAGCAGGGTGTTTTGGTCCCACCTTAGTCATGATAGCTTGCTAGGTGAGTTTGAGTCATCACTCAAAGAATTAGGTATGTTTACTGCCTTCGGTTTTTTACAAAAGAATAATAAAGGGGGCATCTTTAATATTCTCTGGTTTAGAGTAATCATTTTCTTTTCAGCCCTGAATTTCTACTTCCCCCTTTCCTGCTATTTTTAAATAAGAATAATTCCAAAGTTTCAATTTCTCATGAGATCTAAAATTTAATTTTCCGCAGTAAGAACTCAAGTATGTCAGGCTTTATTAAGTGCTGGAACCACCATTAGATTTTTCTTACATTTAGAAGCAAAAACGTGCCAGGGTTTTAAAAATGCTGAATAATAATGATGAGCTCATATTAAACTATTAATTGACATTTTCTATATATACATTCTTATGCATCTCTTAAAGATCACCTACAGTATGTTTCTAGAGCTATTCAGGGAGTTAATGGTGTTTATAGTGCAATCTTCCCCATATGGACTCTATATTGAGTAGGGCTTAATGCCAAATGAAAATATATAAACATGTACTTCATATGTAGCCTAGTTAAGTCCATTTTAGTCATTATTGTAGCAGATTCTTCAAGCTTAGTTATAGCACGTCTGTGATTTATCACAAGTCTTTGAAGTTGGCTTTTAGAAATTAAAACACGGATTGCTGCCAAATTCTTTCTTTTCATACTGATTATCCCATACTGGTTTTTTTATTTGTAGTCTTGCTTCTGAAGTTGTTTGTGTGTTTAATATTCAATAATATCAAAAATTTAAAAAAAATATTTTACATATGAACTTGAATATAGTACACAAGTAATTTGGAATTCTAAATAGATTATCTTCCAAAAGTCATTTTTATCTTTAATAAAGGAATCATCACTTGGAAACCTGACAGGAGGAAGACCCGCGAAACTACTGATATTGCCTTTCCTTTTCTAAGTATTTTTCCTCTTAAGTTGGGTGCAGCTGACTCCCAATCACTATCTCTAAATCTATTGTCCATTGGAGTCTTACTCCTTTCTAGCCAATCATGTAAAGGAAACCATAATTAGAATATTTTGTATGTTGTGAGTTCTCAGTTCTATCTTATCAATATTGTATCTGCAGAATTCTAATAGTTCTGAATAGTTGGATATTTCACTATAAATGTCTCGGATAAATCAGTGGATTACATACTATATGAAGTCCTAGTAAGAAATGCTTACAAATTTACCATGGATTTTTAGAGAAATGACAGTTTACAAAAATCATCCCTAACTCAGGCAAGAGGCTGCATCATATTTCTTGTTCCAATCCAAAGAGTCAAATTAATAATGATCAGATCTAGAAAAAAAAGAGTCTTCTATTTAGAAACATGCTGTAGAGCAGGAGTGTCAAACTCGCAGCCCACGGGCCGGATGCGTCACATGCTGGCCCCGCCCCCGCCTTGTTTAGCAAAGGGGGGGGAAGTGCTGATACATCACATGATGCCACTGTGAAGCCTGCTGTAGAGGAACAAATGATGTCCAGATGTATTTATTTATAGTTCCAGCTGTCTGACTGTGCTGATGGCAGAATTAAATTCCTTAAAAATTATAAGTACCAACAGGAGTGGTGAAGTAAAGGTAAATATTGAGGCTTACCCTCTTGGGATCTGATGTGTCTTCAGGAGAGGCAGTACCAGAGGAAGAACAGATAAGTGCAAAAGACCAGAAGAACTTGGAGCCATGTGACAATACACCTATCATTGATAACATCGTTCCTGTTGTTGCCAGTATCTCATCTGAGGAGAAGCGGAAATATGAAGAAGAGGTTACTAGTCTCTACAGACAGTTGGATGATAAGGTCCATTCTTAATTTCCTTCCAATTGTTTGTTGTCATAGATTATTAATGTTTATTTCTTGATAACTAAAATCAATGTGTACTTCAAACTCTACAAAACATAGTATATACTATATTATTATATATAAAACACTAACAGTATTTTCATTCTCGCTAGCTTTCTATTTAGTTCTGCTGAAACTGATGAATTAAAATTGTTTCTTTTTAATTCCAAGTAATCAGTCAAATGATCAAATAACTTCTTACTGAAAGACAAAGAAAGTGATAGGTAACCCTAAAAGCTACACAACTTGCACAGATTGTAGTAATATATGCAGAAATCTAGCAACTTTAGTAGTTTATAGATCAGAGGTTTTAGGTTTTTTTTTTCCTAATGTAATAAAACTACATCTAGAATGTGTAACTAAATCATATCTTGTATCAGAAGTATGTAGAATATTAGTTTCCTATCAAAGAGTTCCAGTTCAGCTTTCCAGTTTCCTCTATTTACAGATGTTTCTCTTTCCTATTTCCTTGTGAGAATATTTCATCATGGAAGTCCCTGCATATACACTGAAGCAGCACAATTATATTTAGGTGACTGACTTTCATGATAAATGTCTACATGTTGAGATAATATCCTTTTTTTAAAAATAAGATTTAAAAATGAAGAGACATTTCTTACCTGGTAACAATTCAAATACTTTGAGAGTGACATTTGTGATAGCAAAATGCAGGGATTAACATGAGCATTACTTGGTTCATAATAACATGAATATTCCATCTCTTTCTTGCCTTCCAGTGCAATATTAAGATGTAAAGAAATGTTCTGACCCAAGCCTAGTTCAAATTAAATAGGCACAAATTGTATAAAAGCAAACCTTTTTTAATGTGGTGCTGGGAATTCTTTGCATTCCCAGCCAAGAGTCATTTAAACCTAATTGTCTGAGATAAAAGCAAGCCCTTTCAAGGTTGTAAAAGGCTGCCAAGAACAGAAGTCTAAGTCAACCGACAGAAGTTTCAAAAACAAACTGGAGTTCGCAGGGCTTCAACGAGGACTCAGAGTCTAAAGAACTTCTTTGCTTCCTGCAAAGAGCACATCCACGAAGGCTGGTTTTTATCCCTTTTGGGAGGGGCAATCACCTTCCAGCTTTACTCCCAAGTCGCCCTTGCTGCTTCAGCTGCTCTCTCCTTTGAGCAGCCCTGCGCACACACGCACTGGGCACAGGCTCCCTGGAGTCCTCTGCTTCACTGCTGCCAGACTCCAAAAGCTCCGAAGGCATCACCCCACCCTCCAATAGTCCTGGCCCCATTTCTGCATCAGATACAGGACCCTCATCCAAGTCCTTGCCAGACTCCCTGACTGGTTCCCTTTCGTCCTCGCTGTCAGAGACCTCTGGCATCTGCACCTGCTGCCGGCGAACCACAACAAGAAATCAGAAAATGTTACATTAAGTTAAATATGAGAAATAGATAAGGAAATAACTCATTCTGAATCCTCCTAGTAGTCTTGATAGCAGACATTTAAAAATATTGTATGGCAGTTCTTTAATTTCACTTAATAAAAATAATTAATTTTAATATCGGCTGTGACACAAGCTGAAATAACTGCTTTGATTTCATGTGGATTTTTTAAAAACGATGCACAGCCTTTTTTGGGGTAAGGCTTGCAAGAGTGGATGTATAACAAAGATTAGACAGGATCAGGTGAAAGTAGTAGAAGAGCAAGGACAAAAGCTACATATAATTTAATTTAGATAGCAATGTAAAGTTATGTCTCCTTCAAATCAAGCTAAATCCCTGCTGACTTCATGTACTTGTCCATATCTTAACAATAATGGGGATATGATTTGTCTGCTTTCTTTGGGAACTTTATCAGCTTGTCACCTAGTCCAGGGGTAGGGAAACTTGGCTCTTCTATCACTTATGGACTTCAACTCCCAGAATTCCTGAGTAAGCCATAATAGGTTCCCCATCCCTGGCCTACTGGTTTTTCAGTTGTGGGGGAAATCGATTTTTGACTTGAATGGGACTGTTTAATATACAAATGTAGGACCATATGTCTTGAAATCTTGAAATCTCCTAATGTTTATTCACCCAAACTTACTTACATTTTAGAGATCCAGCAAAGGATGCTGCTAGCTGCTATTGGCTATGTAAATGCAGTTGGCTTTAATTAAATATGGATTAATCTATATGTAGAATAATTTTCCTATTCTACAACATTAAAAATCACAAAGTTTGCAAGATTTTTGGGTACCACAACCAAAATATTTGAGGACTTCAAATTGGGTACCATCAGACCTTTCAAAGTCAGTCACAGTTATTTGAAGACAAGTAAATAAAACAAATAACTTGTGATCAAAAATAATAACTTCTACATGGAGACTCTTGTCCAATATATGCCTACATTTTGGATCTGAAATGTTAATGAAATCATACATATATTCAGAAATATACACAGTGGCTTTATTAAGATATGCCAGGGGATGATATTTATTAAATGAAATGGCCTATGCCTATAAAATTTGCTTTCATATTTATGTGCAGGTATTGTAGGGACATCTGGGCATTTTGCTTTCACCAACAATATTTATTTTATGAGGCTGTTCCACATGCAGAAAATCTATCTTAGGTGAAAGTTAAGAGTTGAAAATGACTTGATGGCATATAATCAATCAATGTGGCTGTAATAGCCAACCAACACTGAGCATATTACAATCCTACCATAATTAAGATTAAAGCACGGGCATAAATAAATGATGCTACTATGCTTAATAGATATTATTATGCAGAGGCATTATGTAATTCTATTCTCACACAAGACTAACCTCTCAATTCATCTCCCATCAAAAGCTTTCCAAAAATAATCAGGTTTTTATTTCCTTGCTTTATCTTAATAAGATCAAAAGAAGTCAAAGTCTAGGTGCTCTAGGAAAGGGAAAAAGCTAGAGAGGAGGCCTGTCTCCAAGAACCTTATACATCAGGGGTCCTCAACTCCCATGCCATGGACCATTACTGGTCCATGGCCTGTTAGAAACCAGGCCTCACAGCTGGAGGTGAGCAGCAGGTGAGCGAAACTGTGCGTATATGGGTTTCTAGGTTGCATGCCCTTTCCCACTGGGTCCATGGAAAAATTGTCTTCCACGAAACCGATCCCTGGTGCCGAAAAGACTGGGGACCACTGTTATATGTGACAGGTTATAAATGAAGGATCCTCTCTTCCTGATTGGATGGACAGAAACTATTGGAAACCACTAGTCTCATAAATATCCAGATCCTCAGCTGCTCATTCAACACTCATAAACAAACCAGCGACTCAAAGTAGCAGTGTTATATGGCCAAACCAAATTGTTATTCAGGCTGATGGATTCCGGAATATTCTGTTGTGTTGCAGTGGTCTTTGTAGGCAGTGACTATAATTTTTTAAGGTTAGGAACATTTTGATCTTGCAGCAAATAGTACAATGAAGAAACATGACACATTTATACCTTCATGTTGAAGAATGGTACAGTTTTACACCACTAAAGGTTTCATTCTATGAAGTTTCACAAACAAAATAAGGAATTCGTAATAATAAAACATAGTGTATTTATATGTGAAATGTATGATCTTGTAAGATAAAAAATAGAATAGAGGTGTCTTTAGAACCAGATGCTGATTTAAAATACTATTAACTAGCAGAATGATGCAGATGATAGAATAAAAACCAGATGAATCCATTGTTATGTCAAACTCTGGAAGATATTTCTCTGTCCTATAGACTTAGTCTTATACTTGGGGACTACATAAGATTAATTTATGGTTCTACTTGCTTGCATCTGTTAGAATGATATGTTTTAGTGATAAAGGTTGGAACAAAGTTCTATAGTCTGCAAATTATGTTTGATGGGTCCGTCCCCCGTCCCCCCCCCGCTATGCAATAATGGTACATTCGGTTTCCATAGTATTTTATGTTGGGAGGAAATACTGCATCTACTTTTATATTGATATATGAGCGAGTGAGACAGGAACTAGAAATTCTCAGGATGGACATAACTATTATGTAAATATTGAAGATATTTGACTCAGTCTTAATGTTAGGAAAGCAATGGCCAAATTTCCATTGACTTGAAAAAAAGGCCTAGAATTTAGTCCCCTGGAGGAAAGGGAGGAGGGGGAGGAGATGAAAAGAAATAGCTTGGCTTCTGTGTTCTGCATATTTATGGCTTTTCTGTTTACTGCAATAAAGCAATTAAATTAGCCGGAATTAGGTCTGTGAGCTTCTGCTAGAAGCAAATTCCTGAATATGGAGTGAAGTATCTGGAAAGTCAAGATTTATTGCCATGCCTAGTGTGGAAGCTAGCTGATTTCAAGGCATAAAAATGGTAGAAATAGAAAAAGTAACCCTTTTTTGTCCACTGCAGGATGATGAAATTAACCAGCAGAGTCAATTGGCTGAGAAACTAAAACAACAGATGTTGGATCAAGATGAAGTAAGTATTTTATTCATTTATTTATTTATGTAATCCCCTAGACGAATACAACACAAATACAAAATTTAAAAGCAAAACAAAGCAAAAAACACCAGAAAAGATTATTAATAAGAATAAAGAATCGATGACTTCAATAAACCACAACTATTGCTAGAAACTTGGCAACCTTTATAGTGCTTGATCACAGTAGGCTTAACAGAATAACAGAGAAAAAGAATAACAGAGTTGGAATGGATTTTGGAGGTTTCTAGACCAACCTCTTGCTTAGGCAGGAAACCCTATATCATTTCAGACAAATTGTTGTCCAATCTCATCTTAAAAACTTCCAGTGGTGGAGCACCCACGATTTTTGAAGGCAAGTTGTTCCACTGATTAATTGTTCTGTCAGGAAATTTCTCCTTAGTTCTAGGTTGCTTCTCTCCTTGAGAAAGAAGACTAGCTTCTTGATCCTAAAGACAAATAACATTTCTAACAATCAGATTTATAAGTGCCAGGTACCAGGGATGGTATACAATGGGCAACGTTTCAGTATGTTTTATATAAAGACTGGCTGTTCTCTATAATCTAATGTCTGTCTATACAATTATTTGGTCGGTTCACTAATGGGTGGATTTCCAGAGTCGGTGTTATAGCTATGTTTTTCTTAAGTAGGCCTGATATTTATTTCTGACCAATGAAATCAGCCAATGTTGTTGACAACATAAGTTTTACAGAAAGAAAACAGATTTCCTAGTATTCTTAAGTCTTCATCATGGATGAATTTTCTTGTGGGTGTAGTTTAGTTTAGTATTGTGTATATGGTATGCCAAGTCTGAATTCCTTCAGCATTTAATTACTAAATTATGAATTCAGTTGCTAAATTATTTGCTATATTATGAAGGTGAAATTTTGAGTATATTTTATTGAATATATTTATTGAGTTTATTTGGTTAACATCAACAACTTATTGAAGACTGGTTTTTAGCTTCTAACACAATTCTTTTCCAGGTGTATGTTACTACATTATCTGCCGGATTACTGGAATGTTTGTTTTTTAAAGGTCATTTAGTATTTTTATCCTTCCTGATTTGGAATAAAATTGAATATAACACTTTTGAATTATTTCATTTTTGTCCATCATTTTTGCTGCTTAATCCCATTCGCTCTGTTTCAGCTCTTGGCTTCCACCAGGAGAGATTATGAGAAAATACAAGAGGAACTCACTCGTCTTCAAATTGAAAATGAAGCTGCAAAAGAAGAAGTTAAAGAAGTTCTCCAGGCTTTGGAGGAACTAGCTGTTAATTATGACCAGAAATCACAAGAAGTGGAGGACAAGATGAGAGCTAATGAACAGCTGACAGATGAACTTGCACTGAAAACAGTAGGAACAATCCTTATTAATCTTCATTCCTAAATACATTATATGAATTTGTACATGCCTTCCATGAATCCCAACTAAGACCTCATTAAACACCCCAGATAAATTCAGCTGTTTGAAGCGTTCATTAAAGTAAAAAGAGAATTTTCTTTAGCAAACTGCTAAAGAACCAGTTTTGTGGAAATTGTTAGCATGCTATTTGTTGTTTGCTATATTGTTGTTGCAGTGAATGCTAAAATGGTGAATGCTGAAATCTTTAAAACGTGTATGTTTTAAAGTACAGTATGTGCAGTATAATAATTTTCTTCTGGAAAATATATGAGAAGATCGCTATTATTACCTTGTTTCCCATTTCATGCTGGACATTTAATAGCAAAAGAATTTGGTTGTAAGAAATGGCATTCTGTTTTCTTCTAGTGGCTTGATCTGCTTTAGCTACTAGCAGACTAGCAATTTCTTTATGTGAAATGGAAGCTATTTCTACCTTCCATTGATTCTACCTTTAGTTTCCAGAAAGTTTGCTGGGAATTATTTCTTTGCCACGTAATAGCTAGGTAATGGTCTTTTTCATTTAATGCCTAATTCTTTTTAATGCCTACCTTAAATTGGAACATATAGAGTAAGAGCGTAGTTCTGAATACTTCATCTCTGCCAAACTTCTATAAGACATGAAATAAATATAAATAAATAGTTGAGCTTAAATATAAAACAACTGATCTGATCTAGAATTCTGGGGTTACTCTTAATTTAATGAGAGCAAATACGAATGAATGTAACAAAATGAATGAAGGTACCAAAAGTTGAATGTTTCTTTTTTGTCTAATAGTAGAGAGCTTCATTACTGTTTATATCCCAAGTGAAAAGTAATGTTCAGTTTGAGGCTTCTTTTTAAAGTAGATTGTGGGTGTTTGACTCATAGCTTTTAGGAAATAGTATCTATCCAAGTACATCCAATGTAGAAAACATAGCATAATCTTTGAAAACATTTTTTTAAAGTGTGACATGCAATTGCTTTTCATCATAGTTGATGATGTAAACTGTTGTTATTCTTATTATTTTGCAGTCTGCTCTATCAACTACGCAAAGAGAGCTGGGACAGTTGCAAGAACTTAGTAATCATCAGAAAAAGAGAGCTACTGAAATATTGAATTTATTGCTTAAGGACCTGGGAGAGATCGGCGGAATCATTGGTACTAATGATGTGAAAACAGTAAGTTGCCGGTATTGCAGGAAACAATACAGAAAGAGAGAAATATTTCAACTTCAAAAATAATGACTAAATTAAACATAATTCCTGAGGATTGTAAACCAGATAGTGAACTTCAGGGACAGGGAAAGGGACAAAAATGAGCAAGATGGTGTCTGTGGCATTGTGTTCTAAGTCCCACTTTTTAAAAATAGTTGCATTGATGTTGTGTATTTGATATTATATAGCTGTTACTCATTAGCTGAGCATCTCCCAGATGTGTATTTCTCAGTTTCTCAAATATTCAGCAGTGGCTATGCTGGCTGAAAATTCTGAGAAGTTCACATATCAGAAAGATGCAAAGACTAGAGAAGACTGTATACAGAGGACGCAGAACTCAGTCCTTAAAACTAAATCAGATCTAAGTATAAAGCTATCAGATTTGATCTGTGAGGGATAAGCAGGTTATATGGAGTGCATTTGATTGATGCAGCCAATATTTAGTCAGTGTGATACTTTTTATTTTTTTATTATTGCATTCTCTTCCTAAATAAACCCTCTTTATTGGAAATAGGCACTTTTGGCACCGAAGGCTGGTAGGTTTATTTCAGGGTAGGCTTTTATGAGACTAGAACCAGAGAGTTGTAGGGAGAGAAAAAAATAACAGAATCGTATGTAGTCATGGCTGTATAAAGAACTTCCATATTTTTATGTAGTGAATAAAAATAAAAATATTTTCACTATCTGATGAGCAGGTGTTGAGAACTCATGATGATGATTATGTTATTATCTCTTTTATTCATTAAATGTGAAACTTGGTCAACTGAACATTTAAAAATATATCACAAATATCATTGACTGGTGCTAATACAGGTTGCTGCCAACATTTTAGGTATCAACCAAGTATCTTCTTAAAATGTATGATGGTTTGTTTATTTATTTATTTATTAATCATCATATGGCATTGTTACAGTAGCCAGGAGACCACAGTGCTATTGCAGAGTTATAGTTTGGTTTGCCAAGGTACCAGTCCTATCATAGGAAACACTTGCGCGCTTCCCAAGGTGCGCCACAGGAGGGTGAACTGCTTCCCACCAGACAGAAAGACACCTGGCTCTTCCTGCACTATTACTCAACGCTTCCTCCCTTCCCAGAGCTGCCTTGGAAATGGGCACCATAAACAAGAAAGTACAAAGCTGTCAGGAATCTGACCCAGAGCACCAGCTCGTCTCACCACTGAAGTTGTACCTATCTATCTACTTGCATAGAACATGCTTTCGAACTGTTATGGGTGGACAGAAGCTGAGGCGAGTGACAGGAGCTCACACTCCTTTTCAATGCTAGGCCTCAGACTGCTGGAGCTGCGACCATTTCCAGCATCATTAAGCCACTGACTGAGCCACCGGTCCCCAGAACTCATGATGTAATAAAGGTGTAGAATTATGGCATCGCAGTGTAGACAGCAAGGAATGTAAAGCTATAAGGAACGCTAAAAAGCTTTATTCAGATTCAAAAACCTGTACTAGCAATTCAGTACCTATTTCTACCCACAGGTAAATGGGGAGGGGGAGGATGGGGACCCATAAATGTCAGATGTTATGGAAGAACAGTATATATCATGCCGATTTCAGTAATAAGTACAGACATCTACATCTCTGTTCAGATAGTAAAAAAAAAAAAAAAAAGAGGAAATTTTCCCATAAAAGATGAATTATGCAGAGGTTTTTTTTGTGTTCAGTTAGCTGACGTGAATGGTGTGATTGAAGAAGAGTTTACCATGGCACGGCTGTACATCAGTAAGATGAAGTCTGAAGTGAAATCTTTGGTGAACCGCAGCAAACAGCTGGAGAGTGCCCAGGTGGATTCTAATAGAAAAATGAATGCCAATGAGAGGGAACTTGCTGCCTGTCAGCTCCTCATCTCTCAGGTGATAATAAGCTGTTTCTTTGTTACTTTTTTTTTTTAATCGGTTTCTCATAGATTTTTCATGTACATTAAACATGCAATTTTCTGTTTGCCTTCTTTTCAACTTCCAAAGCATGAAGCAAAGATCAAGTCTCTTACAGATTATATGCAGAATGTGGAGCAGAAGCGAAGGCAGTTGGAAGAATTGCAGGACTCTCTTAATGAAGAGCTGGCCAAATTGCGGGCACAAGGTAGTATAATTTCAGGAGTCGGGGACTTTACATATCTCCTGTTCCAGATCCTCAATAGCTGCCTTGAATTTTATTTTTTCTAAAGTATATTGATTTTTTTTGCCTGGTAGTTCCTTTCCATTGTCACCTTCCTTTCCAAGGAAAAGTGTGTTCACCCAGAGTGTAACACAAACGTAACAAAATCCAAAACATAAATAAATGGCCTTTAATGCCTCCAACTTGGCCCCACTGTTCAATAATTCTCAGTTGGAGATAAAACATATTCAAAAATAGTCTTCAAAAGAAAGCAATACAGTCCGAACTTAATGAGCAGATAGAGGTAAAATAAAAAACTAAAACAAACTACAATGAAGGAATTTCCACAACTGACCAGGATAAGTAATTACCAACTTCAAGGAGATAACAAGGCACTGTCTATTGGAAGGACGCCAACCAAGATAACTTCAGCCCAAAATAACACACGCTTTGCTTCTGGCAACGCTGTGTTTTAACCGTCTCTCTTATATACTATTCTCCCCAGCTACAACCAGTGAGGGGGATCATGGCCACTTCTTCTCTCGTAAGCCAAGTTATTTCCTTCTCCGTTCCTCCCTGCGTGTCCTAGGATGAAGAGGGGATGGGCCTGGTTCTTCCTCTGACTGCCCAGCCGGCCTCTGCCCCTCCCCAGCCTCCTCCACAACCTCTGGAGCCACACCTCCACTCCCTGTCAGCTGTTCCTCCTCTCCCTCAGTGTCTGAGTCTACCAAGGGTATGACATTAGGATTCACCAAGTTCTTTCAAACTGGTTAATGGTGTCTAAATTGGAAGAACTAAAACTGCTTTGGTGACATTTATTATGTCAGTGGAATCTATTACTTTTGCACAGGAAAATAAACTGATTTACAGGTAGTCCTCAACTTAGGGCCACAATTGAGCTCAAAATTTCTGTTACATTTGTTAAGTGAGTTTTTCGCCATTTTACAACCCTTCTTGCTACAGTTGTTAAGTGAATCACTGCAGTTGTTAATTTAGTTACCCAGTTGTTAAGTGAATCTGGCTTCCCCATTGACTTTGCTTGTTAGAAGTTTGCAAAAGGGGATCACTTGATCCCTGGATACTGCAACCATCATGAACATGAGTCAGTTGCCAAACATCTGAATTCAGATCACGTGGCCATGGGGATGCAGCAATGGTCATAAGTGTGAAAAACAGTTATGTCACTTTTCAGTGCTGCTGTAACTTTGAATGGTCACTAAATGAACTGCTGTAAGTTGAGGACTACCTGTACAGGCATACTTCGCTATCTGCAATATGGCATGGATCAAAACTCAACTCATGCTGATTGGCTTATTTTGCTGTACAAGGGCAATTGTTATTCATATACCAGAGTGCTACAAATCCACTTAACCGAGGCTTCTGATCTTCTGAATTGGTCATGGGGATGGGCTTTAAAGATTACAGCTGGCAGGACAACAGATGGGAAAATGTGCAGCGCATGGAATGTGATGTTTTTAGGAGCACAAATGGAATTGGCTTTTGTTGGAAGAAAGTATTTCTTAAAAACCATGGGCTAAAAGTAGCTTGACACAAATTGTTCTGTTGAACCACCTGTTAACGTTTCTTTGTCCCTAAAAGGTAATAAAAGTAGAAAGTCATCTTTTGCAAAAGGAAGACTTTTTCAGAGCTTGATTAATACTTGTTAAATTATACCCCATTGAAAGGTTGCTCAACTGTCCTCTTTACTTGAACAGAAAAAATGCATGAAGTCAGTTTCAAAGATAAAGAGAAGGAACATCTGACTTTGCTACAAGATGCAGAGGAAATGAAGGTAAATTTAGATGACCGCAAAGATAATTTTCAGATTTTTTTTATTCCACACATTTAACCTTGGCACTTATGATGTCAATTTCTCACTACAAATGTTTTCCAAAGGGATGATCAAGGTCAAGTTATGTCTTCCAAGTCAAATCTAACATTATTCTATAATTATAAACTAAATTCAGGGTTGCTTGTTGTGTTAGTTATTACATGTATTTGTAAAAATATATTTCTAGAATATTTGATGTTAACTTAAACCATCCATACTACCCATGCTTGCAAAACAAATGAAATAGATTTGCAGCATAAGGGAATTCCTGTATTAAGAATTATTTTGTTTTATAACTAGATGTTGATAATAAGTAAAATATTAAATTATTGTAATGTATTTATCTTTTCTGTGAACAGAAGACCCTGGAGCAACAGATGGAGAGTCATAGGGAAGCTCATCAGAAGCAGCTCTCTCGATTACGAGATGAGATTGAGGAGAAACAAAAAATTATCGATGATATCAGAGAGTATGTTCATTTTACATTCCCCAGTACAGCTGTTGAATGATTTTGCAGGTGTATATACATCCATACACAGACTATTGCTGATGACCCATTTGATCTATATTTGAGTATGTATAGCTTATATTTATTGGCAAAACCCTCAAGAAAACCAGATGAGTACTGCTGTGGATGTGTTTTTCTAGAATCTTTTTGTGGTGATTTGAACAAAGAACAATCCATAAAGTGCTGAATAATAATAATAATAATAATAATAATAATAATAATAATAATAATAATAATAATAATAATTACAGCAGACAAAGTACCATGTTTATGTCCAAGGCATACATATAACTCTGGATTTTAAAACCTGTTATGATATCAGAAATATAATAAGGTATTAAACAAAGTAATTAATAATCAATACCTTGGGATTCATTTAGAGCACTGTTTTTGACAAACTGTTCCAGTAGTTCTACAGATAAAATGTAGAATGATATTGAGAGATCAGTACTGCTTATTAGAAACAATTTTAAAGTTCTCTTGAAGAAGTAGAATCCAGTGCTTGGATAATAGTGGGATAATATCCCAATATTACATAGAATGGAGTAACTACCATGTCAGAAACATCACTGATTTGAGATTTAAGATGATTATGAGAAAATTCTCTAAAGGTTTGAAATGAAAGTATATTGGGTAATTGTGATCTTAAGACAAATGCATAATGGCTTGCATTTGTCTCCCTGCAGTATCACTTTTAATTTAAGTTATTTTATTTTCTTCAGTATGAATCAGAAGTTGCAGCTGGAAAAAGAAAAACTGAGTTCAGACTATGACAAATTAAAAACAGAAGATCAAGAACGTGAAAATAAGTTGGAAAAACTTATGTAAGTTAACTGGATTGCCTTTCCTATTATGAATGAAGGTTTCTAAAATAATGTATGCAGGATGCTACCCTGACCAAGAACAAAAACATCTGGTTATCCAGATGTTATTAGAATGTAATCTCTGTCAGATTCTATTAGCATGTATAGTGTTATAACTTACAAGAATTAGCGTTTCTCTATATTTGCATATTATTAATATTTTATGAGCTGAACATTCTCCATTCTTTTTTTATGTTATCAAAAAGTCCTGTGATCATTTTCACCAGTCACCCTTCCCAAGAAGGAGCACTTGCTCGATTGTGAATTTAAAGATGGTAAAATATATTTGGATTGAAACCCAACAGCAAATACTGGGGGAAAATAGGCATTTTATTAGCTACAAACTTCATAGAGGTTTAATTTCTCATCCCAGAGACTCACAATCTAGAACAGAAAAGAATTCATAGACCTATAAGACCATGGTCTTGATTATACTTTATCCCACTTCATTCCAGTTTTATGGATAGTTCTTAATACTTGCAAGGACACGAGTGTTGTTAAAACATCTGGTCTTAAGTGAGTGGCCCAAAGTAAGTGTAAATAGTAAGCGTATATCCACTTAACAATCCTTCCAAAGATGACATCTGCAGCTGGATAACTGTAATCCACTCAAGTCTTAATATTTTAAACTGCCTAAAAGAATCTCAGCAGGTCTTAAGCCAATATGGCAAAGGATGTCATTGTCAGCATTTTATTAGTACCCAAGTGTCAAGTCCAAAAGTTCAATAGAGCAGGATTTTAACTATCCTCATCAATGTGTAGATTTACAACCTTGGAGATTCGAATTAAATTCAGAACTCTTACAAATCCCCTTTAAGACCCCAAAGTGTTGCTCTTGATAGTACAGACAGTCCTCAATTTGCAATCATTTGTTTAGTAACAGTTCAAAGTTACAATGGCACTAAGAAAAGTGACTTACGACTTTCACACTTATGACCATTGCAGCATCCCATGGTCACGTGATCAAAATTCAGGGACTTGACAACTGGCATGTATATTTTCTGAGTTGTGCCATTGTTTTTTTTTTAAAATCTAGATTGCTTAATGATAAGAGGGAACAAGCAAGGGAGGATCTTAAGGGACTGGAAGAAACTGTGGTATGTATTAACCAAATCATAGTTTTATTTTTGAAATAACTGTCCAGAAAAGAGATTATAATTTGAAGGAGGAGGGAAATGTCCTAGGAAATTCCCATTGCCAATCATCCTGATGGACAATCCTGGTATGGTGGGGACATTCACTTTATACAAGTTTCCTATACTTTGTTTGTGTCTCGTAAGGACTGATTCAGGTTGCTACAGATGGTCCAAAATTCAACAACTCATTGATTGACATGCACTAGTCACTAAAATCACATTATACATATCCTGTGGGCCCTGCAGTGATTAATGATACATTTCTAAATTTACTTCAAATGCTAGGTTTGACTTAGAACACCCTATATGGCTTTTTACTGAGGTACCTGCAGGACTGCCTATTGAACCCCTTGGAGAACCCATGTGAGGTGAAGCCCTTGAAGGAGAAGCTGCTGGTGAAGAGAAATTGAGGGTGGAAGGCAGACTTTTCTGTTAGAGCTCTCAGCTGATTCTGATACCACAGTGTGTGATATCTTCCTCAGTTGCCTATGGGTGTTAGAGATTCTGGAAGAGAAGAGGTGGGAGCCAAGGAAACCGTTCTCCATTGTTGCTCCAACTCAGTGAAACAAGCTGTACCCACCAAAATCAAGATGGTTCCTGTCTTTGTCATCTCCTAGAAAGTAGTTAAAGCATATATGTATGGGATACAGTATGCAGAAAAGTGAATTAATATATTTTTAAAAAATTAAAAATGGTTATCCCTCAATAACCATTAAATGGTTATCCCTCTATTGGCTAACAGTTATCTGTGAACAATTATCTATAAAAAACTATGAATTTGTCAGTTGTTCACAGATAACTGTTAACCAGTTTGAGGGATAACCACTTTTTTTGCTTCATTTTAGCTGCTGTAATACCACAGTTTATTTCATTTATTTATATCACAACCTTTATTATTTTTACAAATAATTCAAGATGGATAACATATCCAACACACCTTGCTCCTCCAATTTTCCTTACAACAGGCCCGTGAAGTGAGTTGGACTGAGACAGGGTAACAGGCCCAACATCACCCAGCTGGCTTTCATGGCTAAGGCAGGAATTGAACTCACAGTCTCCCACTTTCTAGCCTGGTGCCTTAACCACTAGACCAAACTGGTTCTGCAGTACTTTTGTTGTACACTATGATTTACCTATAGTTAAAGTAATGTTATTGGTGTGGTTGGATAACTTTGCCTATGCATTTCTGTTTAAAATAGTCTTTATTAAGCAGAGGTGTCCAGAGTAGGAGTCAAGGAGGGACAAATGAAAAAAAATAAATAACATCATGCATTGTGATGCAAGCTCCACTACTCTTGAACATATATTATGACATTACACAGATGCATATAAAGGGCAGAAATTGTCACAATCATTACATCATTTTGAAGAAACGCTAAGATTCTGTGGAGAGTTCTGTTTTTTTTTCAAATTTATGTATATGTCTATTTACAGGCTCGAGAACTTCAAACTCTTCACAATTTACGCAAACTCTTTGTTCAAGACCTCACCACCAGAGTAAAAAAAGTAAGATAAAACCTTTGGCTGAAAGATTTGAATTATGCTCAAAAATACATTTTGCTTTGGTGAAAATGTTTATCAAGCTATCTGGCATTCTGTTGAAATATAATTGCTTGTTAATATATATTGCTTGCATTTGAATATCTGAGAATAATTGCATGCAGAGATAGACTAAATATCATTATCAAGTAATTCCAAAAGAGAGAGAGAGAGGGAGAGAGGGAGGGAGAAATTATTCAATAAGGGCAGTCTACAGTGTATTTTTATACTTTGATACTTAAATGAAAATAATAAAACTGTTAAAGGTGCATTTCAGGATAAAAATTGTATGTTTTTGCCTCCACTGAAGAAAGTAAAATTAATTCAGAGAATGAAGAAAGTCTAACACCACCTCCTTAGAATATTTTTGACTTTGTACTGTTGTTTCAATCAGTATAACTTGTAGTTGTATTTTGGACTATAGTTTTATGGTTATGAAAGAGTAGAGCAAGAAGGATTAAGGAAAAGGTGATTCATATTGAAACACAGTATTAAAATCTCTGATACAATATTTCATGCATAAGGTCATGAGGTGAAACCAACTTAATTTTTTAAAAAAATCTTACAATTTTCATTGTAAAGTAATCTCTGCATGAATGTTTCCACTTTGTTCCAAATGTATTTGCAATGCTTTTCACTATCTTTTAAACTTCCCTTTAAAAAAGGATAAACTTTTATGGCCGAGAAATAGCTACCAATTTCAGAATGTGAAAACTTTTGCTTGAGAAACATTTTGAAATGAGTTAAAAGCATTATTTCAATAAATATTTTAAAAAGTAGCTATTGATTTGCCAGTCTGGTATATAATTATAACATTAGTCTGGAAACATTTCATAATCTCTACTTATTTGACCCTAACAGTAATTTCCCAAATATCTTCTCATGTCTCAAGCAAGTACACTTATTCAATCAAGAGTTCTGTTGGAATAGAAAGCAGAGGAGTACTGATGAGTGTGAAAAGTTTAAAAATTACTAGACCACCCATGACTACCATTTCAGAGATATTTCCTTACCAGATTCCTCAGTGTCTTTTACAGTGACAGATCTACTGATTTACTGCCTTCACTGGAAAAACTGGGAAGCATCCAGAGATGTATCTGCCTTGAAAATGGCCCATGTTGCACATCAGCTCAAGAAATGTCTTATGATATTTTGTATTACATCATAAACTGTTTTATGATAATTTTATGTCATAAAACGTTTGATAAAACTAGGTGAATTTCAATATTAGGGGAATCATGGGTCCAGGATTTTGGACCTTTCTGTAAGTTAGCCCATTTGAGGTACCTTGGTTTAAAAAATGTTGTATTGTTTCAGCCAGTTAAAGGTTAAGGAACAAGAGTCTTAGTAGTATGTAGATATATTGAATCATTTTAAAGGATTAACTTTGGACTGTATAACTTTTCTTAAAGATTTCCCCGTTGCCTTGAACCATGTGCATTACAACAGCGTCAATGTAAATTATGTTCAGAAATTTAAGAATTACATCTCGTTGAATGTTTCATGCTTAGCATTATTCCAAGTTTAATTTCATAGGCTGTAATGTATTTTTATGCAAGGTAGGTTTTTGTTGCTTTCTCTACTATCATTAAATTTATGTATTGTAATTTGTTTGCTTGGCATAGAGTGTTGAACTGGACAGTGATGATGGAGGTGGAAGTGCTGCCCAGAAGCAGAAAATCTCCTTCTTGGAAAACAACTTGGAACAACTTACAAAAGTTCACAAACAAGTAGGATTATCATTATGTCCGTCATTGCTTCCTTGTGGTTTTCCTAATTTGTCTAAATTTAAGAGCTGTAGAATAAGGAGATGGGAAAAAACAAAACTTTAAATAATTGTGTAATATAGTCTCACAGCAGTTGCATTACAGCTCTTTCAAGGAGACATTTGAGCTCACTTGTTTAAAATAAAAACAGATTTTCAGTTTATAGGAGTCTTGTCAGATCAGCCAAAAAGAAGCTACTGGGAATGTGCTAAGAAGATTTTAAAAGAAAAACACCTGGTTGCATATTATATTGAATCCTCAGGTTTTTTACAACAGAGATCTTTAACTTTCTTTTAATTCAAATTGGATTTTTAGCAGGGTTTAGCAGAGCAAGAACACAGAGAAATAGCACAATGTACCTAACATTTAATATCAAAATTGACTAGAGTGTTGTACTTCCGATGTTGTTGAACTGCAGCTCTCAGCATCCCTGTCAATCATGTTACTGAAGCTTTTGGGAACTGAATGTTAGCAACATCTGAAGGGCCCCAAGTTCCTTAGTCCATTTCAGCCTTTAAGAATTTGGGTGATTTTGATGGGGCGTGCACTAATGAACAATGGTCAGTGTGAAAAGCTGGCTAGCTTGTCTCACTGACTTACAGTGTCAATGTGCTATCCTTTGCCAAAGATGTTCTGTGTGGTGGAGGTTTCAGTGGTAAGCAGGAATGTGTTTACCATAGGCATGATAATGCATATGCTATCAACTTTGAGCTTTCCTGAAGTTCCAGAGATGGTCTCCCATTAGCCTGGAAACACAGCGAGTGGTAAAGAACTCTGGGAACTCTAGTCTAGACTTAAACCTAGAAGTTTTACCTGTCCTTTATTATGTAGCAATTTATTGCACCAAATATCACTACTCTTTTTTGTCTTATAGAAGCCCTATATATAGATTGCAAATTAAATTAGTGTTTTTCCTCCCTCCATGCTACTTTTTTTTCATTTCATTTCTTTTCTTTTCTTCTTCATTTCCTGTTGAAATTACAGGACTGAATAAAATTGTTCACAAGCAAAATCAAGACACACAGTGCTAAAAATAGCAAAAAAGGGGAAATGACATTAATTTCTTTATTAGGTTTTTTTTTTTGTATCATTTATCAGTATAACAAGGCTGTGTTTTCCAACACACTTTAAACTGAGGAAAATTGCAAAATGTACATTAAATTTGGAACATTCCACCCAAGAAATACCATTTAAATAGGTTCTGTATCTTTTAAACTATTATTTACTTTTTGAAAATAATAAGTATTTTAATTTTTTAGATTCTTATGTGTATGATATTGTAAAAATCTTACATGTGTAATATTGTAAACAAATGTTTGTCCATCTTTTGTAGTTGGTACGTGACAACGCGGATCTTCGCTGTGAACTTCCAAAGCTGGAAAAACGACTTCGAGCTACAGCGGAGAGAGTCAAGGCCTTGGAAAGTGCTCTGAAGGAGGCCAAGGAGAATGCCATGCGGGATCGGAAACGGTACCAGCAAGAAGTGGACCGCATTAAAGAGGCTGTCAGAGCCAAGAATATGGCAAGACGGGCACATTCTGCTCAAATTGGTATGGATTCTGCTTCCTAATACAGAGAGCCCTTCACTTAACAACCACAATTACGACCAGAATTTTGGTTGATAAGCAGGGCAATTGTTAAATGATTCGTGTCTGATTGTACAACCATTTTTGCCATGGTTGTTAAGTGAATCACTATAGTTGTTAAGCAAATCACATGGTAGTTAAGTAAACTCCACTTCCTCCCATTGACTTTGCTTGTCAGAAGATGGCTGAAAAGGGCACAAATGATGATCAAGTGACTATAGGATGCTGCTGCAATCACTATAAACATATGCCAGTTGCCAAGTGCCCAAAGTTTGTTCATGTGACTGTGGGGATGCTACAACAATTGTAAGTGGTTATAAGTCACATCTTTGAATGCCGCTGTAACTTTGAACAATCACTAAACAAAGAGCTGTAAGACAAGGACTACTTACAAAATACTCTAAGCTCACAATAAATTCAGCAAATAACATGGGTTCATAATTTTTTTTTTCCTGCGGAAAGTACTTCTATATTAAGGTATAAATGGCTATGGATTTTAGAAGAGCATTCCTGAACTGTGAGTTCAGGAGTTTTATTACTTTGCATGTATTAACTTGAACCAAATGTGATGAGTTTCAAAGCAGCTGAGTACCAAAGTAGCACAGGACATTCACTCTCACGGTGCAAAGTACTATGTGCTCAGTGTATTGCTTAGTACTCAATGCATTTTGATGCAAAAAGTTTGTCCCGGCACTCATTGCTTGTTTGCTACTCAACACACAAGCTAGAACTTGGGGAAAAATTGTTTGGTACTCATCATTTCTGGTACTCATTGTACATCCAGGAACCAATTAATGATGAGTACTGAGCTACCACTGTACAAAAATGCAACAATTTTTAAAGCTGCTCAATGAGACTTGTAGAAAGATGTGGCTGTGTTAAGTGATTCGTAGAGAGATGTTTGGTTCTCAGTCCCACATATTTGGAAGAATTATATTCAAATGCTTTTCATGCCCCTCAACTAGTTGTCATGTCTTCACTTTATACATAAAAAAGAGCAGCAGCAGATCTCATTTCACTAGGTTTTTTAAAAAAATTATTGATAGACAAACATACCTAATATCTTTTCATACTGTTATTGCAGCATTATCCACCAAACACACCTTTAATACCTCTGCACTTACCCTGAGCCCAAAATGCAGTTTTTACAAAAGTTTATATACAGTAATTTGTCCATATATATCTAACAAAGTAGTTTCTGTGGGATACTTCAAATTGATTATTCCTATCATTTATTAATTTACTGTGTTCTGTCATCTTGATGATATTAATAGCTCTGTCAAAAGCTTAATTTACACCATTGGTTATTCCACTTGTAGTTTTGCTATAGACTTGGTGGTAGAGAGGGATTCATATAACTGATTGTTCCTTTCCATGTTTAAATACTTGTGGGAGAAATAATTGATTTTAAACTAATTTCTAATTCCTCCAACACCAGAAGCCAAGAGAGGGGAATATGAAATTTTTGAAGACAGATAAAAAGACAAATTCAATTTGAGAACAAAAAGGAGTCTATGGTATTTTTCAATGGGAAGAAATTTATGAATTGTATATCATTGTTTGGGCATTAGCACTTTAGGCTAATTTCCACAGAGGAAAAAACTGGGGTTATGATTGTAGTCCACTCCTTGTCTTAAAACAAAAAATTTCCTTGACTTCGCTTTATCTCTTTGCAGCTAAGCCTATTCGCCCTGGTCATTATCCAGCATCTTCTCCCACAGCCATTCATGCCATTCGTGGAGGTGGTGCATATTACCACAACATGAAATAAATAACAGGTAAGCTCATAGCCGTTTGTAAGTTACTATACATACGTACAGTCCACCGATATAGGTTCAGAAAGATTTTGTAGTTCAATCACAATAGGAAACTGTTCTTCACCAACCCTGAAGGTCTTGAAGAGGGACTTTCTAAGATAAGAATAGCCAGATTGAAGACCAGCCTTGCAAATAACTCAGCTTGATCTGGGAATGTTTGTTAGTATACTGTATACCCAAGGACAGGGGTCCCCAACCACCGGTCCCCGGACCGGTACCAGTCCATGGATCATTTTTTACCGGGCCGCAAAGCTTGGGCGCCGCCATCTTGTTTCGATGGCGCTTCTGGGTTTTCGGTTGCTTCCGGGTTTTCGGTTGGAAAGTGCTTCCGGGTTTTCAGTTGGAAAGCGGCATTTGAGTGCTCGCGTCTTAGTTTCGTTGAAGGGGGGGTGGCTTTGAACGAAGAGCCCGTCCCGATGGCGGTGGAGTCTCGCGTTACTCAGGTACCAGTCCGTGGAAGAATAAATAATCGTGAAACCGGTCCCTGGTTCAAAAAAGGTTGGGGGCCACTGCCCAAGGAGACATCCCTATCTCTCTAAACCAGAGGCGGGTAACAATAGCCCCTTTATGACTTATGGACTTCAACTCCCAGAATTCCTGAGCCAGCATGGTATAAGTCATAAAGGAGCCATTGTTACGCAACCCTGACCTAAATCATTATATCAAGTTTGTTGTTTTAATTACATTAATGGGCAATGCTACAATTGTTGTACCCATGTCTCTCTATATTCATCTGAATCATTGACAAATTTATGTTCTGAGGCTAAAACAATCCCTATAGACAATGTTTCAGAAATATGTATTTTGTTCCTAATGGAAAGCAACTTTTTGGAGTATATGCAGGAAGTTAAACCAAAATGTATCTTCCATGAATCAAGAATGTGCCTCTGTTTTGTGACAACTACATTACCAATAGGATAATGACCATGACCGGCCATTTTAACAACGTAGTTTCTAACCCACTGCTTGGTAATTTCTAGTATTCTCCTCTCCACCTAATTCCCAAAAACTTGACTTCTGCCATACATTTGATTGAACTTGTTATTGTACAATATATCCTCGTATCGTATTTTAAGCCTTAGTTCATTGTCAGATTTTGTAACTAGAACTCACGATCTCCTAGTTTCTAACCTGGTGCCTTCACCAGGATACAAAACTGGTTCTCTCCATTTGATGATGGTATGTTTTCTGCAAATAAATTAATGCTCCAAAAGCTATATCTGATATTTCACTATTCTACTCCTGAAAATGTGATGCGTACTAACACATTTTATGTCTACATATTATTTTTTTCAGACTGACCAGATGGTACTTGGCATGTAGAAGGTTGTCATCAATTCACTATTACATTTTTTACGGAGAACTGGAACTATATTTCTGTTTGTTGTACATGTTCTATAGCCATTGGCAATGCACCGGTTTCAAATGTTTCGGCTTTTTCCAATCTCCATATGTACAGAAGTGTGTCCAATACACTTTTCCTTTCCAAACCTTGTACAGTGTATCTAACATGTTATCCTAGGGTAATAATACCCTGAGTCTGCTGCTCAATCCCTGTCATTGACTGACTGCATTTTACCCCTCTGTGCCACTCTTGTGGAAGATTCTGTGCTTGCACTGATGCTGTTTTGTTCTGTTTTAAGTACTTTGGTGCATCAGCAAAAATGTGACATTAAAGAATTAGCCATCAAACCACCATAGGAACAAACCAGATGATTGGATTCCATCACTGATCTTTTTTTTATTTTCTGTTTAATATATGCATCATTTTATATTTTTAGAAATTGACAGGGTGCAGCGATATAGTTTAAAAATAGCCTCCCCCCCCATCTGCTTTCAAAAAAATAATAAAGTACCTCAAATAGTACATTTTTATTACCCTGGTGAAATGTTGAATTTGTTTTAAAAGGGTAGAGAGGAAAAGCTAAATTACGAGTACATTTGCTTGGTAGAGGTAAGATAACAATAGAGATATAGAAGGATGCAAAAGAACATGGTTAGCATAGTTTTAGTCTTAAATTCCAATGATCATGTGGGTACATTAGAATCCCAAAGTTTAGGATTTGATCTATAATGTCCTTTATGGATCTTCAGGTGATTATGCAGAAGCAATGGTTTCGATGAATATCAATATTAAATTTAGAATAGCAGGTGAAACTCTAATTTCTCCTTGATTTTCAGAGATCATAGTAGAAGTCAGAAATGTGGGGGAAATTCTGCTCTAATAAGATTAAAAACCCTTTTCCAAAGGGTTGACTAGGAATAGGTAATGCATGTTTTAGAGTGCAGAGCAAAAACAAAAAGGAAGAATGATTGAAATAATCTTATCAAAATCCTGAGCTTTTATAACATTAGATGCTAGTACTGAACCTTAGGGCAGTCTGCCCAAGAAAATGGTGTAGAATACCCTCATGGTATTCTTACTTAATGACAGACATGAAGTATTAAATTGTATTTTAAGTGGAAGACATGGATAACCAGAGAACAGGTAGATAAACAAGTGTTACACCTGCAGTTTAATGTGTCAGTTATATTTGTTTTGCATATGTTTCATGTATACGTTGAAAACATACGTTAACTCAAAAGACTGTAAGGTTCAAAACGACTGGATTTCAATTTACATTCATTCCATTCTGTCGCTGTAGCTTTCACGAAATTAATAGTAAATTGGGGGCTGCTAATTTTTTTGGGGGGAGGGAATACTTTTACGTAAAAAGCTATTCTGCTATAAAGCCTTTACAAAGATGGTTATCAGATATTTTATCACAACGTAGGTTAGGCACTCTCGACTGTAGCAGATTGTTGGATCTTAATTTATTAAGGATTGCACTAATTGTGAGGGAAGGGAGAAACTTTTGTTGATGTGTTTAATGAAAGATCTTATTTTGCATTTATTTTGTTATTTTTTTTGTAAATGTGTTTTTAAATATTGTTACACATATATATACACTGTCCACCACTTGAAGTGTGAATTTGCCATATTCAATCCTCTTTCTGGGCTTAATGAGGCCATCTTTTTGGTTGTAAATTGTTGGAACACCAAGTTATACATACGAAGTTTACATGCATATATACATAAAGCTCCCAGTTAGTAAAAAAAAACACACCAAACAATATTTGGGGAAAATTCAGCTAGGACGTTCTAATAGGATATATTCTAATTATTCCAACTAGAATGTGCATCATGGAGGATGTTTCAAGCAATCTCACTATAGCTATTTTCATAGGCAAATGAGCTCTTAGAATGCAGTTAATGAGGTTTTGTTTTAAAATATAATTTTAAATTACCCCTTAAATTACCGCATTGAAATAATATTGTTTAAGATGTTTTGATACTGTGAACGCAAGCCGTATATCTAATCAATCCCCACTGATAGGAATGAGAACTAGATACTGTGGTGTGACATTAAGCACTTTTGAAATTAAAAGCTTTGAGGTTAATACAGTAGGATACTTATATTAGGATGTAAGGAAAAGTTAGCTTTGATGCCCCAGAATTGTTAGTAACTGATCAGCCAGTCAGTTCTTCTAACTTCAGTCTCTCCTTGACTGAGGCCTCAGAACTAATTTCTCTACCTTGGATCAAAGATGGCAGATTGTCTTTTGAAATGGGACACAAAGACACAGTATATTGCAATGCTTAGGGATTTATTTTGAAAATGAGCCACTTTTATTATGTTACTGACTCACTGCTGCTAGAATTGTTTTCTGTGATATTTCTAAGCCATTCTTTTAAGTTTTTGATACTAATTTTACAGTATGTTTGTATTGCTTCCAAAATGTCAGAGATTTGATTTACTTTTTAAAAAGTCCTTTTTCCCTTTGCTTCTTCTATTGTTACAGTTTGACTTTAAATGATAGGAAGATTTTGAGTTTAATTCTTGAAAACTCAAAAACAATGTTGCATACTTACAGAATTTTCTGACTGAACATGAAGCTTGCTTCTAATTTCAATCATTCTTTATTGTCATCATTTTTATTTATGTATATCCTTGGGATAACTTTTTAATTTAGCCTTTTGCCACTGAGACAATGGAAAGATTCTGATCACGCTTGCTAAAATTACATTCTGCTGAATTAAGTTAAGAATGGATTATTCTGAATTAATTAGCCTGAAGTAATGTAAACTGAACTAAGATCTAAAAGCTGCCTTTTAAAAATCTGTTCCCGTAGTCAAGGAATGAAAAAGAGCACACGTTTTGTTACTTCATTTATAAATGAAAGTACTTCCTTTCTTTAAAAAAACAACACAGTCCCAAAGCTTATCTTTCATATAGCAAATATATATCTTGTTTATTAGGTTTATTCCACAAAGTATTACTGCAATTTTTGAGGGTTCTTTGGTTCTCTCTACCCTCATCAAAGGCTGTGTTGAAAAACAGGTTGTGCAGTATAAGTTGTAGCTTACTGGTGATAAATTGGCCCCTAAGCTTTCATAGTCTGAGGCAAGCATATGAACATGCTTTCAAAATAATGAATCTGTTCATGGCAGAATTGTGGGATGATGCCTTAATGGAAAGCAATCTGTTACGGTTTCCTATAATGCCTTTTTGAACCAAGAACACAAAAGATAATTGTCTTTTTAGGCACCCATACAAAACTATTTCTAAGATTGTGTTTTACACCTAAATAATTGTGTCTGTCATTTTTAAAACTTTTTAACAGTGGACGATGTGAAGGAATAGGGATTGAGGCATTCTGTAGAAGTATACATGTCTAGTTTGTAACTTGTGTAGTGTGTATTCCAGATGTGTATTCTCTGGGACCTATATATCTGTACAATAGCTTGTTTTAGGGAAAAATGAAATGTGGGTCCTTTTTCTGATGGTTACAATCTCTGGAGAAATTTCCACTATTACATAAAAGATGCTGTAATGAATTACGCTCTATAACAGCAAACCTAAATCTCACCTTCCTTCTCTATAGTTAAGTCTTTGGATCTTGGTTCTAAAATACTATCTATCAAACTGTATGGATACACTGGCAAACTGCATGATGTATCATCCAAAACCTGTTTAAGTAGAAATAAAATTGAAGTAAACTCTTTTGTGGCCTGTGTTTAACAGCAGTGATGATTTTGGTATTTTTTGCCTTGCCTGTATTCTTGGTGTCTTCTGTGGAAATCTTTTAGTTTGACAAAATAATAGAACAGCTAAGCAGATGCATTAAATATTTTTACACTGCTTATTCTTGACTATACACACTGTTATCTCAAGTGCCATAACCTTGACAAGCCAGTTTTTATGTAAGTTTTTTTTTTCACATTAGCTGAGCAAAAATCTTGTTAACTGAATATGAATAAAGTTTGGGGATTTGGATGTTAGAGTGAAGTTTAGAGGCAAACGACTCTGAATACTGGCTTGCCTAGAACTTCTCCAATTCGCTTTCTGTTAAGTATGAGACCATTTTTAAATAGATTTTTTTAAAAAAAAAATATCTGACCTTTACTATGTTTATAAATAACTCAAGGTGGTGAATGCACATAATATATCCTCCTGTTTTCCCACAACAGAAGCCACCCTGTGAAGTAGATTGGGATGAAGGTGATTGGCCCAAAGTCACCCAGCCAGCTTTCATGCCTAAAGTGAGACTAGAACTCTCCCACTTTCTGCCCTGGTTTTTTAGCCACTAGATCAACTTTTATATTGAAGCCTACCCAAGTCTTTCACATGAAATATACCACTCTCCAAAATTCAAGCAGAGGCACTTTCTATATGAATTTTACTTAAAAAAAAAAAGAGCAGGAGCTTTAGAGCATCATTCCTAGCTCCTGTTCAACATTTATTAGTCTGCTTGTGTCCTATAATTTCTACTGCTCCGTACAGACAGTTTCATTTCCACTAGGTGGCAGGCTGTTGACAATTTAATCCAAGTGTTCTGGGATTCATCCTTTGGTTAGGGGAAAATCCTATAACTAAATTTATGAACAATTATAACTATATACTTCTGCTAAAATATGGCTTTATTTTTGATAGCTAAAACAACAATTTTTAACTTTTCTTTCCTACATGACTTCTGTGTACCAGTACACATACTGCACGTTTAAAATGAATGTGCCAGTTTTTCCCAAGCTGATTTTTTTTCTATTATGTAAACAAATGCATAAAATATATATTGCCTGCATTCTCACTGAAGAGCTGCATTAAAAGACTTCCCTCTATTTCACGTCTTACAAAATACTGATACTGCTACCTTATTATCAACATTCTTCAGTTGCAGGTAATGGCAAATTAGAAAATGAGGGAAAAAACTCCAGAAAAACATGTTAAATGGGAGCAGACATAAATTAAGAATGGATCAGATTAAGTGATCTAAGCCATTAAGTGATCTAGTACATTTCTCTGGCAAAGGATGGGATACAACTTATAACTAGATCCATTTCTGCCAAATCGTTTTAAGCTTTGGCAGAAGCTATTGGAGGGAAAGCTTCACAGAATTGAAGGAATTACCATCTTCTGAGTAAGTCTGAATCTTGTTATTATCTCTTCTGTTATCTTGCAATGGCAACCTTCCTCCTACCCTTCCTTCTTTCCTTCCTACCTTACTCTATCCTACCCTACTTACTTACAGGTAGTCTTCAACTTCCTGCCACAATTGAGCCCAAAATTATGTTAAGTCAGAAATTTGTTAAATGAGTTTTGCCCCATTTTACGACTTTCCTTGCCACGTTTGTTAAGTGAATCTCTGAAGTTATTAAATTAGTAACACAGCTGTTAAAAGGAATCTGGCTTCCCCATTGAATTTGCTTTGTCAGAAGGTTGCAAAAGGTGATCCCATAATCCCGGGACATTGCAACCTGTCATAAATATGAACCAGTTATCAAGCATCTAAATATAAATCACATGATCCTGGGAATGCTACAACGGACGTAACTTTGAACGGTCACTAAGAGAAATGTAGGTCCAGGACTACCAATACTTACCCTTTTCTCTCTCTCTCTCTCTCTGTCCCTCCCTCTTTCTACT